CAAGAGACCGATGTCCAGGTGTCCATTCCACATTTTTTATTTCAGCCCGGGGTCATCTTGGCATTATTTTAGGGGGTCAATTTTCATGGAACATTCTAGAACAATAGTCATGTGATTAGTCATGTGATAGTGTTGAATTATTCCTATGTACTTTTTATGTTATATAATGATAGATTATTACAGGTAGCACAATGTGTAGCAGTATATCGACTTTGGAATTTTTAAAATGGCCGCCGTTACCATGGAAACTGCAAAAATGTGAAATTTTTTTTTAAATGCTTCAAATTTGATGAAATTTTACAGAGATGTTAACAATGTATGTAGATTTGGAATTTGACTTTAGAATTTCCAAAATGGCCGCCGTTGCCATGGAAACAACAAAAATGCGAAAAATCTCTAGATTTGGTCTAATCTTTATGAAACTTGACAGTAATGTGGCCTGTCATGTGTAGATGTGTCATCCGACTTTGGAATTTTCAAAATGGCTGCCGTTACCATGGAAACTGCAAAAATGTCAAAAAAATTCAAAATTCTTCAAACTTAATGAAACTTTACACAAATGTTGACTGTCTTATGTAGATGTGGCATTTGACTTTGGATGTTCAAAAATGGCCACCGTAACCATGGAAACACGAATGCCTATATTTGAAAATTGGTCCAATTTTTATGAAACTTGTAAGTAATGTGACCTGTCACGTGTAGATGTGATATCCGACTTTGAAATTTCAAAATGGCTGCCGTTACCATGGAAACAGCAGAACAATGGTTGGGGGCCGTTTTTGGCGATTCTGGGGGCAAGTTTTACATTGACCCTATGGGAAAATGCATAAAACCACCATTTTTTTAAAGAGTATTTGACCAAAGTCAATGAAACTGTATTGATATATAACATGACATGTGGCAATGAGATGTCTGCTTTTAGAATTTTGGAATTATCCACTGTAACCATGGAAACAGCAAAAATGTTCAAAATTTAAAAAAAAATTAAAATGCTGCAAACTGGATGAAACTTTACAGAAATGGTAACTGGCATAGGCAGAGTTACATTTTGAAGTTGGAATTTTCAAAATGGCTGCCATAACCATGGAAACAGCAAAAAAGTTCAAAATTTCAAAATGCTCCAAACTTAATGAAACTTTACAAAAATGATAATTTGCATGTGTAGATGCACTCTTTGACTTTGGAATTTGCTAAATGGCTGCCGCTCACCTGACAATGGGGGAAGGGTGCCATCCGCTATTGCTTGCAATGGCAAATCTAGTTAGGTCTTTCCACTTTTCCGTGGAAAGACCTATTGTTTTTCTTCTGATTACTATTATTATTTTTTATCTTCCGCCTAATACTTTTTCCTTTGCTGTTTTTTTGTTTCGCAAGATGTCGCTTAGACATATGGTATATGATATCGAACAGTTAATACGCTTTTGAAACTGACACCGCGTAACCAAAAACTTTTCGATGTAAGAGTTACATCCCCGAACACTGTTTTTCTTGTTATTACTTATATGTCGCAACCACACAAGAAACCGACTAATTTATTTTACCAAATTGCTCGTTATAGCCTCAGAATTATTTGGTTAACTTTGACCGAAGCTATCCGGAGACTCCATATGAGAGTTATTTCCCCTTATGCATTTGGTATAAGTGATGTGCATTTGTAACTGAAAAACCATAACTTATAGAGACCAGAGGTCTTTTGATTTGAGGTCCTCGGTCCAAAAAAAAGAAAATAAGGTCAAGGTCAAAGGTCAAGGTCATATTCTAAATTTTGATTTTGGCTTGTTATCACTTATTTTCAGAGATTGTATAAGATATCGACAAAATATTTTTACAGAATTGTTAGTTGCGACATGTCGTAACACGTAAATTTTAGTTGAAAGGGTACATATACATTTAATGGGAGTTTTCACCCCTTTTATATCTAATATTAGCTGTATGGTAATATAACTCATTACCAATATATAGTAGAGACCTAGAGTGTTTTGATTTGAGGCCCTTGTTTCATGACCTTGAAATTGGGGTCAAGGTCAAAATTTGAAATTGACGTTCTAGATTTCGACCCTTGCTTTAACTTTTAATGTATGCCTGATAAAGCTATGGTACTTTGTGCATTAAGTTGCAAGTCATATGACCTTGAAAAAATCTACCGGAAATGACCTTTTGTAAACCGGAAGTAGCTATTTCTTGTCCATATTTAATGTAAAAGTACATAGAACCATATATTTTTGGAATCAGTGTCAAGTAAACTATCAAATGATACCGGAAGTGACCTTTTTCAAACAAGAAGTAACAAATTATCTCCCTTATTTCAAACAAAAATGTATAGAAACCATATATTTTTAAATTCAGCGTATAATAAGCTATCATTTGGCGCTGAAATATACATTTCTAACCGAGTTTTAATATTTTTCACATCAAAATATATCGTTTCGGGTGGAAAGACCTTCAATTGTTTTCTGAACAATTAGTTTTTAATTTTTATTATTTTTCTTCCACACTTTTTGTCCGCGCTAGTTCTCAGAATTGAACGGACCAATGTTGATGGAACTCAACTATAATGAGGACCCCCATGTGAAGTTGAACACCTTGCTATGGAATGGTAAAATATGGCCGCCGTTTCCATGGAAACATAAAAAATGCGAAAAAAATCAAAGTGTTCCAAACTGAAAGAAACTTCACAGAAATGATAACTGGCATGTGCTGATTTGCAGTTCGACTTTGGAATTTTCAAAATGGCCGCCGTTAGCATGGAAACCACAAAAATGTCCAAAATTTCAAAATGCTCCAAACTTAATGAAACTTTACAGAAATGTTAATTTGCATGTGTAGATGCACTCTTTGACTTTGGAATTTAAAAAATGGCTGCCGTTACCCTGGCAATGGGGGAAGGGTGGCATCCGTTATTGCTATTAATTACAAATCTAGATATTATTTTTATTCTTCCACACATTTATCCACGCTAGTTCTCGGAATTGAATGGACCAATCTTGATGGAACTATGCTATAATGTTGACCGCCATGGGAAGTTGTGCACCTGACTTTGGAATGTGCAAGATTGCCACGGTTACCATGGAAACTAAAAAAAATGTTAAAAAAAATCAAAATTCGAAATCTTTTGTTATAAGAGCCAACCCATTGAAACGTTATGCAAATGTAGCCAATGGTGCCCTAAGGTACCAACAGTACTTAGAAATTCCAAAATTTAGTCTCTTCCTTAATGGATGGCATTCTCCTGTATGTGGCATCGTTACTAAATCTTTGTGCTGAGGCAGTCTCACTGGCAAAGAAATTACAATTATATTAGCAAAGAAAACCAACTCTGGGCAGGCCAAAAAGGAATAATCAAAATAGCCTTCTCAACTTTATCATTAAGAATTTTCATTATAATTTCCCCAACAAGGAAAAAGGTAGAAAAATGTACGGTCTTAATTCAGACCTTGAAAAATTAAAAGCATCTACAAAAGTAGCTTGTGGGTCAAAAGACCAAGAAACAAATCTAGGAATTGGAAAACGTGAAGCAAACAAATCAATGTTACTATTCATCAGGACGTTTGAAGGGGGACAATCAGAATTCTAGATTTTTTTTAAGACAATTATTAAAGGAACAATCGGGAATATATCGGTTTTTCCAGGGGATCTTTAATTAAAAATTAAAAATAAACAATGAATATTTTTGTTATTAAATTTTACATCCAATTATCTGTGAATTAACTTATCATAGTAAGGTTAATAATAAAAATCATAAAATATAAAATAACAAAAATTCGTAAAAACAAAAGATTCAAAATAGAAAAGAAGCGATGAGAAGTAATTTTTTATTATTTGTACTCATATAGGGAAACACCTTGCATGTTGAATTTTCTGGTTAAATAACTTTTATATCATCTATTTTCTTGAGTTTTCGATAAAAAAAAAAACATGATGATTTCAACCTTCCCATTTGGTAAATAGTCAAGTTTTAAGCATTTTTCTTTAGAACTTCACAACATATTTGTGAATATCCTCTAAAGGAAGTTTTCAAAGACACGTTAGTTTTAGATCGAAGACGAAAAAGACTTGATTATCCGCAAATTTGATATAATTTATATTTTTCAATCTACAACTAAGGGAAGTAATTCAACCAAAAAGACCGAGGTCACGTGGTGCACATCCTACGAGTAAAGTACTTAGGATTTTGCCATATGGGGGGCGTTATAAATAAAGGTTATTATTGATCTTAGAATTTTAACTACAAAAAAGTTCACAATTGGGCTTTATCTTCGGGCGGTAGGTTTTTGTGGGGGGGGGGGGGGGGGGGTCCTGCTCCTGTTATAAAGGGTATTACTCTTGCTAATTGTTTATTATAATATGAAGCTATTCGTCTCCATTTCTTCCAATGTAAATTTCCTTTTAGCTATAGGAATTTTGTGATAATTTTTTTTATAAGTATTGGTTCTTTGATTTGAATTTTAGTTAGAGTTCAAGTTAACATTGTAATCACACATTCATAAATTGACAATTTACATACAATGAATTTATCGTTAGAATATGCGAGATTAAAACCAATGCGACAACAAAATTGTCGACACTTTAAGCGGGTCAAATACTGTCTTCAACAATAAATTGTAGATCTTGCTTTTACATAAAACGTTTTGAAGGATAGTCAAATCTTTCTGTGTAAATAAAGAACAATATAGATTTATTGGGGAAGTTAATTTACACGTGCAGAAATTTAATCTTTTTTATATGGTATTTTGCCTCTATATTGCTTACAGTAATCATTTTTTTACCGTTCAACATTTAGGGAATTATCCTTAAAATCTATTATCTTTGCATAATAGATCTATTGAATTATGTTCGTTTTTAAATCACTGCGTCTCGTGTTTTTGTGTCAAATATCAATTTATTAATTTGTATTTTGAAGCAATTCTAAAATATTTCGTTTGCTCTCCTTTATAATTTGTTTTGGCAGTGAGCGAACTAATGTTATCCAGTACTATTTATGCCGTTGATGTATATTATAGGAGAAGGGTCTGAGAAAGGTTAAAGCAGCCCTACCTATATTGAAACAATCAGCCTGTTTTGGAAACTACGATGCGATGTTTATGGTGTCGGTAATATTAAACAATGGTATAGGAGTGAAAGCTGATGAAATACAGGTATTGCTACTACTATGGTTACATTTTTAAACAAATCATTTCATTTCAAAAATATTTGTGAATGCAACATCCAATCAGCGTTATTAAAAAATCACTTATTTATCTTTAAAGCAGCAAAAGGATCTCTTGTATGTTCAATCAAAAGTGTGGATGAATAATTTGTAAATGCATTTCATTATTTTTAGGTAAGGGATCATTTTTAAAGTCGATCTTTCCTTTTTTTTTTGGTTTTGAATTATCAGTCTGTTTTTATGTAAATAATTATTCGTCTTAAGCTGTCGAATGCAATGGCTATGAAAGTTCCTGGTGAAACAGGCACCCGACGACACAAAACATCAAAAGCCATCTTGAGGTGTCTGATGACATACTGACTTCTTTTTGTTTTAATATAAAATTCTTAGCTTTTTGTTTAAAGAAGGCTATTCCAGAAAGATGTGTAATGTGTACTAAAGTCTGTATTATACAATGGAAAAGACGGAATATGTGTATCAGTTATATTATTACATTTTTTACCAATAAGTTGGTGTCGATATTGGTGGACCGTCAGTCCCTATGGGTAGAATCCACCGAGTAAGCTAGTGATTCGGTACTGCAATGATTTAAATGATATATTCTTAGTATAAAATTTCCTACTCACTCAAGCAAAGAATTTTGATAACGGTTAATAAGCTCTTATGTATTATTCTTCCTTATCGGTTTTACTCGAACGTACTTGTTAAAGTTTATTCAAGACACAAGTGCCATTCGCACTTCCATTGGTATCCTACATTGAATTTAGAAATACCGGTATGGGATTCCTTTAATAGTTTAAGATATGAAAGGTGTGTGACCATAGAAATACTTAAACTTTTATTTGTACAAAATATTTGATTAAAGAATTTGCAGCAATTTTCATTCATAGTTCAATTTCATGAGGCAATGTTCAAAATTATTTATCGATTCTAATGGTCTGATATGTGAGTTTTCTGTTTTTATCTATTCCAGAGCCAGGCATACCTTCTACTCGCTGCAAGGGGCCAACATCGTCTTTCATCACTGTGCCTTGGTCACAAACATATGTATGGTTTAGATGGAGTGCCAGTAGATAAAGAGCAAGCTTACCGTAAGTGCAACTTTACAACTTCAATGCACATGCAAATTTGGAAAGACTACATAATAAACAGCTGCGCCATGAGCGCATGATACACCCGTCGTCTTGTGTGTGAATTTTTATGCAATAAGCATAAATAGTTTCTGACATACGGCGTGACATGCGAAAACCCCCTTTTTTTTTTTACAAAAAACTCAATATCTCTAAAATAAAATTTTGAATCAAACCAAAAAGTATACAGATCTTAAGATTAATATAACTAAGAAGTGTGTAAAATTTTAAGCAATAATCATAAATCGTTTTTGAGATACGGCGCGACATGTGAAAACCCCCCTTTTAAAAAAAAAATCAATATCTCAAAAATAAAATTTTGAATCAAAACCAAAAAGTATACAGATCTTTAGATTAATATAACTAAGAAGTGTGTAAAATTTTAAGCAATAATCATAAATTGTTTTTGAGATACGGCGTGACATGTGAAAAAACCCTCCCCCTTTTTTTACAAAATACTCAATAACTCAAAAATAAAATTTTGAATCATCACCAAAAAGTATACAGATCTTAAGGTTAATATAACTAAGAAGTGTGTAAAGTTTTAAGCAATAATCATAAACTGTTTTTGAGATACGGCGCGACATGTGAAAAACCCCTCCCCCTTTTTTTAACAAAATACTCAATATCTCTAAAATAAAATTTTGAATCATCACCAAAAAGTATACAGATCTTAAGATTAATATAACTAAGAAGTGTGTAAAGTTTTAAGCAATAATCATAAATTGTTTTTGAGATACGGCGCGACATGTGAAAAAAAACACACACCTGTTTTAGTTACTAAGTCCCGTAACTCAAAAAGTTTTAATCTTATTTTCACCAAAAAGTATACAGATCGTTTGACCATCATAAGAAACAACTATGTTAAGTTTCATGAAATTTGGATAAGTCATTCTCAAGTTACGGTGCGACATGTTTACGCCGGACAGACAGACGGACAGACAGACGGACGGACGCCGGACATTTGTATAACATAATACGTCCCGTCAAAAATTTGACGGGCGTATAAAAAAATCGTTTTTTAGTTAAAGTTGTTTATGCAAAATAGCATGTACATGTACCGCAAGTGCAACTTACAACTACAATGTGCATGTACATTTGGAATGAACATACATGTATAAAAAAATCGTTTTAAGCTATATCAGTATATGCAATCTAGCATATATATGTACATGTAAGATTTGTTACTTATCTAATATATGCGAGCATACTTTAACATGTACTATAACATGCCGTTATAACCATAGCATGCTTAATTATCGTACTGTGACCAGTTATACTGCAATTATTGTAGAATAATGAATATATATCACTACACGAAATCCCGGATTTGAAGAGGTATGCAAATGTTATGTAAATGTATTCAGAGACCGACATTTACATATATTTACAAACCGCTGCACTTAGTTTATCTTGTCTTTACATGCAGTAAATATCAACATTTCGTGTGCTATACCCTCCTATGGGCGGTTATGAGAGACCGCGGTTTATAAAATATATTAACACCTAATCAAACCATTTTAAAGTTTATAATTTGCATATATTTATGACCATCTCAAAACGTTCGCAAACATATGTATTTGTATACCTCTGCAAATGGAAATCTTTGTCATGTATTTTTCTATGATGTAAATTTATCCGCAAATGTGTGTCTTTGTCTAGGTAGCAAAGCATCATCATTCACATAGTTTTATAAGGGTTATAAAGTGTAAGATGCATCTTCATTTGCCTGGTATGTAAACCAATTTAAAACGAGAACTTTATAGAGGGGTGTAAAGCATCATTTCCTTTAATCTGCAGAGACCTGTCAAATGTATTGTAAAGTAATATTGTTGTTAGTCTTTATAGTCGACTGAAATGTATGTCAAATCAGAACATATCAAAAGCCTTTGAACATATTCCTAAATGTATGGTAAATACATAGATTTGCAGACAATTTGTTTAATTAAGAAATGTGGTCAAATGATAATATCCATGACATGTGTAAATATATTGGGCATATGTAACTTTGAATACATATGCAAAGAAATGATAAAGAAAGATATTTCAGACAGCTAGAAATGTATGTGTAAATATATTGGGCATATGTAACTTTGAATATGTATGCAAAGATATTATAAAGAAAGATATTTAAGACAGCTGGAAATGTATGGTAAATAGTTATATTTGCTTTTAATTTGCTGATATATTTGAAAGGTGCAGATTATATGGACAAATATTGCCATAGCTTTACTGGTCAATCTATGATATGACAAATATAGCTGCTTTGGGATTGGTTTTGCCATATTGGTTATATCATTTATTATACATGTATTTTAATAATTTCGTTTTAATAAAAAAAAAAATCGGGTCTACAAAATCGGTTCTTGATCTCTTCTCTATTTGATGCACTGCGTGAATTTCTTTATCCATCAAAATCTTCTATTCTCGGGAAGTTATGATGGTTCATTCGCATAGCATAAAACGATCGTTTCCTTTGAGTATCTCTTTGAAACTTTTGGAATTGCACGAGTCATGATTCACTCTGTTTATAAAACATAGAATGTATTGTTTTAAAAAGAGACATATACTACAATATGTATTATATGTTACTGCAGATACATATATACTATATATATATATGTCTCTGGTTACTGGTAGAAATAATACACATATACAAATTAAGCCTATACAATACTAGATATGCGGCCTCAGTATCAAATTTAAAATCGGTAACATTCGGAAGGTTATCGAGCGATTTATCAAGTTTTTATAAAAAGTCCAAGTTTCTGAAATAGTCTAGAAATATTCCTTCATCGGTAGATTAGTTGCCACATAATATTTGACACAAAACACATCTTGAGAGAATGTTTTTTTTTAAGAATCAGCTAGTTTGCACACATATATAAACGTTAAATCTATTGAAGAATATTTGTAACATTTGTTTTCCTTATCCGTTAAGTCCAGTCACGAGATGTTGAACTCCGTGTGCTTCATGAAGCGTCCTCTGCAAAAACTTTCTTGTGTGTGAGAAAGAAAGTTAAAAATTACAAACAAAGAACCAGTGAGTCACGTGTCATAATTGACACACAATTTACCAATGAAATCAAACAAAATCGATAGATAATATCATTCCATCGACGAGACGTCGCCCTTCCTCCGATCAACGGGGTTTTTCAGCAGTTAAGTGTGACAATTATCACCTTTTACAGAAAGATCTGGTCCGAAAAGATCAATGGAAGACCACCGCTAGTATCAATATTCATCAATATAATAAGACACAAATAATTATCATTTCTTTATGATTTATAAATTGTCTTAAAACAATGCTCCCGTTGTCATTTGATTGTGTTGTTTTTAAATACGCAAAACTAAAATAAGTTATCGAACTATCAGTCCTTCGATATCTCATTTACCGCCTATTTTATTCCAAAATTTTTCAGTGTTCATATGTACTTTAACAGGAATCGTTTTTTTTTCTATCATGATCAAATAAGTTGGTTTTTTTTGGGTTTTTTTTCTTTGCAATAATTACATTAAACATATACATTGCACACATTTTAATTGAAATAACATTGAAACAAGATTGAAGGTTATATAAGTCACAAAATTGATGTGTCGAAGTAAATTTGTTTTAACATAATTCAAGAAGATTTGTAAACGACAAAATACATATTACACTAATGTTAATAGGGGCTCGTATCATGGAAAACCTATCTTTTAAAAATATAAGGCAATTGTACCCTGTACAACAAGACGAAGTCTAGACTAATAGTTTTAGCGGAAATGTATATGATTCTTGTTTGAATAATGGAAAATCTTCCACTTCATTCTTATACATATTTTACGCAAAGTCTTAAAAATAACTACATCTATCATTTGTCCTTTTAACAGCCGAGTCTAAAACATGTATCATTGTACTTGCTTTCAATACAGGCGGAAAATAAGGAAAGAGGGGCAACATACATAAACTAACGTTATTGTTAAATCGCATTGATAAGTGTTTAAAACTCTAAATATGTTGAATATTAAAGAATATTTTCCAATAAAAAAATAAAACAAAAAAGGTGACAAGCCCCTGTACATGTGTCTATATATATTTCTAGGCACATTTCTGATTTTACAATAGACAATAGACAATACTTTATTATTAAACCTCAGACACATAGGTGTACAAGAGGACATCGTATATACACGTATACACATGTTTATACTCAATACATTTACACAACACATAATAATGCATTACAATCTTTAACTCGCATCATGCTTATCGTTGAAGCTGTTTATATTAATTCCTTTGGTCCCCGGCGGATAAAAGTATTCGTCCCATTGGCTACCATACGACATCTTTTATTTTACATACAACTCCTCCGTTCACGATGTTGTAATACCTATGCAGGTTGAACTTCAATTTAAAGGTTTTACTATTGAAGTTTTAGTTCTTTGGGTACCAAAAGTAACCTTAATAATTTAATTACTTTGTAATTAGTTAATTATGTAAGTTGCAAATCTGCAAGAATCTATCAATGCGAATGCATATATATTTAAATGCCTATTCAAAATGTGAGGTTAGTTCATAAATTAATAGACATTTTAAAAAATGCTTCAAAAATAAAAAAATCACAGGTGGCTCAAATGTAAAAAGAAATGTTAAAGTGAATTGCTTTTGGCAAGAGACGCACACTCATTTCATGATTGTATCTACTAATCAACTTTGATGGAGGGTTGTCTCATTGGCACTCATACCACATCTTCTTATATCTACATGAGTTATGGACTAGTACTGCACCCGTATTAAGTAGCATTGGGGGTCGCATGTCATAGTCCAGGTACTAGCAACAGTGATTTTTTGTATTGTATTTATTTTGTGTTTGTGTATGTTTGTTTGTTTGTTTGTTTTGTTTTTTTTTTTTTGGGGGGGGGGGGGGGGGGTATGTGAAATACTGCTTTCCTGCGATGCATCTACTTGTTAAGTTTAG